ACATATATTTGGATGCCAAATTTTAGTTGTAAAACGTACTTTCGGTGGATTGAATGGATACGTTTCAGGAACTTTATTTAACGAGAAAAAAAGGGTTATGAATCGAAAAATTATATGAGGATGATAATGATAAAAACATTACTTTTGATTTCAACTTTAAAACGACCACCTTCAAATAATGATTCTGATGGTCCGATAACATAACCAGTTAGATTAAGCAAATTATTATCAACCGGTTCAATATGGAATAATTTATTTGGTTCATTTTCCGTTTGTGGTAATTCCATAAATTCACGTTTAATACGTTTGGCAGCAATAGTTGCCATTTTGTATTACCTTCTTCTGTTGTTTATTATTATTTTTTCTGATGCAACAATATTTCTTTATACAAGAAAATTTCAATCAATCACTTCGAACCGAAACGAAAAAACAAACAAACGAAAAAACTTAATAGTTTTTTGGGAATAATTCTTATAATTTTGCTGTTGTTGAATAATTCGGAACAAAAAACAAATGAAATTAACTGATGTTGTTGGATGATAATTCGATAATTCGATTAATTATAATAATAATAATTCGAATTCGTCTCTCTGTGTATTGATCTTTGAGGGAGAAAATTCGATTTCGATATCGAAAAATTAATCAATTTTTTGTTGTTGAGAAAATTTAGGATTTTCTTACCTTATTATCGGATTGATGATTTATAATTTATTTTGATGTAAACATGTGTGTGTGAGTGAACAAATTATTTATTTTTTAAAAAAGACAATTTACAATTAAAAATAAAATTTTTAATTTACAAAAAAAAACAAAAAAAAAAAAATATTTATGTAAAAATTCATTAACACGATGAAAAAAAAACAAACAGTCAACATCACCATCAACAAACAATAATAGCGGCAGCATCATCATCAATCAATCATGAACATAGTGGTTAAGAAATATGAGAGAAGACGAAAAAAATTTCGAACGATATATGAAAGAACAAAAAAAAATATATATTCGAATGATAGTAGCATTGATTTTTGTTTGATGAGAAAAAAAACTAACCACTACCACTACAATGACGACTATATTAACTTGATTTGAAAAAGAAAAAAACATTAAAATTATTCGACTATATTTACACAATGTGTGTGTGTGTGTGATATGTGAACAATTAATCTATATACCGCCAGGTATTCAACGAAAAAAAAAAAAAAGAATGTTCGATTAATAATGGGATATTGTTATGAATGAAATGAAATGAATGGATGGATATCAACACACACTACTCATTTTTGAATCATATTTGCATTTTATTATGCACTCAATTGTGCCCTTTGCTCCTAATTTCATTTTTTTCTCTCTTTGGATTCCTCTCATTTTTGTTTAAGGATTTTTTTGTTTTGTTTTTGTTGATGTTATTCATCATCACCAACAACAACATCATCATCATCATCATGACGACAATAATTTAATTACCTTTTTGTTCTGTTTTTAAAATCGTTTTTATTGATGGTGGTGGTCTTCAAAAATAAAAATAAAACAAAACAAAAATGATGAGAAAATTTCCTACTCACCTGGATTATTTTTCTTAAATGAATTTAGATTTTTTTTTTTCGTTTTTATTTCATCTAAAACGCGGAATCATTCTGTGCGAATTGAATCCGCCAGAATCAATGTGGCTTTAAAATCGATTTGAAAATCACATCATTATCATTATTGTTGAACAAGGAAACCAAAAAAAGAAAAAAGGTGAATGATCATCAAAATATTTGCTAATACACGTTTTTAATCTAAAATTTTTTTCCCTCGTTTTTTTTCTCTCTCTCTCTCATCATTATCATCTGGCAGCATGTTATTCATATTTGGTTTTTAATTAAAGAATTTTTAAGCAACAACAACAACGATTGAAAACCAGAATCTTATCGATTTTATTCAATAATTCGGATTTTGTTTGTTTATGTGTTTACCAATTTCATTTTGGATCGATCATAACGTTTGCCATTTTTTCCCGTTATTGTTGTTCGTTTTTTGCCGTCTATAAATGTCCAATGATAACATTGTAGAGCAGATTATTATTGTTTTTTGATGAATTTTCTGTGTGTGTGTGTGTGTGTGTGTGCTTGTCTGTTTCTTAATTCTTAATCAATCAATCATCTTTTTTCTTTGCTTACCTGTGTTTTTCTTCGTCTGAAAATTTTGATTTAAAACTAAATTTTTTTTCAAAATCGACAAATCAATTATAATTTGATTTCATCTATGTAAATGATAAAGGTAATTTTTTTAATTGTTATTTTGAGTTTTGTAAACAGAATTTTTTTTTCGTTTTTTTCCATTAGACATTAAATGTTTTACTACTGAAATGGATGATGGAGGTCGATGTCTTCTCGATGTCATCAATGATCCTCAATTATTACAATCATTTTTGGAAAATAATAGTAACAATAACAATACAACACAACAGCAAACAAATTCAAATTCATCATCAACATCGAATGTTGTTGTTTCTTCGGCTTCGGCGGCTGTGGCATCAAATGCTACCATTATCAATGCATCAACGATTGTTCAACCACCACCACCATTATCAACAATTTCTTCAACACCATCAATAATAATTAATCAGAATAAAAATGATTCTGTTTTCAATACTGCAGCAACGACAATCGATCAATTGTCAATGCCATCATCATCATCATCATCTATGGTTGCAACAACAACAACAACAACGCAACCGATAATCTTACCAAATAATAATAATAATAATGGAATTATTAATCCAATAATAACGATTCCAAAAACATTAGCATCACAAATTCAAATTGTTGGAAATAATAATAATCAATTGATGGCTACCACTATTTCGACAACGCCAACAACAACAACAACACATAAACCGGTACGAGCTAGAAAATCGACTGCCGTTGCAACTAAATCAAATTCATCAACAAAATCGATAAAAAATCAACAAATGACAAATTTATCATCATCAACAATACCAACATCGATATCATCGATTTCTGGTATTATTGGTTCTTCAAATATAGCAACTAGTATTGCATCAAATACATTGGTTGCTGCTACAC